TCCGTGCCGGGCCCGCTTTCGCTTTCCGCGGCCGTAAACAGGGCGCGGGGGGCGGCCGGGCCGAGCCGTGCAGCGCCGCCGCGCTCCCGGGGCCCGGGGGCGATGCGGGGGGCACCTGCGGCCGTGCCAAGGCGCCGTCGGGGGTTTCGGTGCCGTTTGCTTTCTTTTTTTTTTTTAATTTAGTTTTTTGGGTTTTTTTTTGCTTTCTTTTCTTTTTACATTTTTTTTCTCTCCCCCCCTCCTTTTGGTAAATATTTTGGCTGTTTCGTAACTCGCGGCGGCCAAACGCAACTTCGCGGCGGGGCCCGGCGCAGGGCCCTTGGCCTCGCTTCTTTCGACGGCGAAACGGGACCGGGAGCCCCGGCGGCGGCAGCGCCTGGCCCCCGCCTTCCCCGGTCCCCCCCGGGTGCCTCCGGCGCCCCCCGGAGCCCGGCAGGTGCGGGCCGGGCCGGGCGCACGCCCCCGCGGGGGGCGCGGACTTTACGCGGCCGCTGCGCGGAGCCTGGCGGGGGTCACGGCGCATCCCGGACCCGGGGGGGGACACGGAATTTGGGGGGGAAACAGGACCGGGAGAGGGCACACGGGACCGGGGGGGGCGGGGGGCGGCGTCTACAGGGCTGGAGCCACCGAGGACGCGGTGGTGTGGGAAGGGGCCACTTGTCAGCGGCTCTGCCTCAAGGGAGGAAACTCGAAAAGTGCTTAAATAATGTTTGGGGAGGTTGCGTGTGCGCTGCCCAGGAGAGCCTGGCACCCCTCCGAGCATGGGGGGGGGGGGGCGCAGGGCAGCCCCCTCCTGCTTGCTGGTGCTCGGGAGCGCGGCGTCGTGCCGCTGGGCAGAGCCTCAGCGGGATGGAAAATAAATCCCTCGTCCAAGATGGGAGCGGTGAGAGCGCCCTGGCGTGCAGCGCCCGGTGGCCTTTCACCCAACTCGTTTGCCGGCCGGCGTTAGCAGCAGGGCTAATTACAACCCCTCGGGAGCGAGAGCCACCTGTCAGATAGGATATAGGAGCTGTCAGGGCCCCGCATGGGTCCGGCCAGCCGGCGGGCCCGTGCCAGGCAAGGCTCTCCGGGTGCTCCTGGCTACGCTGCAGGGCCCCCCCTGGGTGCCAGCACCCAGCCCTGGGTGAGGGCTCGTCCCCGGGGGCATGGCCCAGCTCAGGCACCTCCGCCTGATCTGCTGACGGCAGGTAACACCTCCGATGGCAGCGTGGAGCTGAGGCCGTTGGCTCCTGAGAGCTTGCGGTCAGAGCCCCGTGTGCCCCACCTTGCTCAGGAGAGCCCCGTGGCTTGGGGAGGGGAGGTGACCCCCGGCAATTTGCCCGCGGCTCTTGGCTGTCATCGATGGGCCGTGCTGTGGCGTGGCATAACCAAAGCATGGCACAAGGCAGCAGGGCTCACCCGTGGCAGGACATGGCTCAGAAAGTCCCCGGGAGCCTGTGGAGCACCTGGGGCTTTTGGAGGATGACGACTGGAGCAGAGCCACGGTGCTGCCCGGCCCCCATGCTCGGGGGGAACGTGGGTTAAACCCCAACACGCCACCAGCTCTTGGCGACGTCCTTGGGAAGCCCAGAGGATGTGAGCATGCGTGCTTCTCTCCAGCAGCACGCTGTGGGCCGTGCTGGTGCAGCAGGACACCCCTGGCCCCCCTGCCAGCCCTGCACCTCCAGCAGAGCTCGTGGCTGCAGCATGGAGCTGTGCAAGCCCTGGAGCTGGCTCCTGCACGGGGCATCTGGCACGGGGTGGTTGGAGAGCCTGGCCCGTGCCGTGGGGACCGGGGAAGCAGCCTGGCACAGCAATCCTTACCTGGAGGTGCTGGAAAGGTGCTTGGGGCCCGGTGCTTTGCTCTAGGGTCAGGAGGTGAAGGTTTTAGGGGTGTCTGCTTCACGCACCCATGGGGGAGCTGCAGCAACCTCCGGGGCTCCCAAAGCTGGCAGGATCCCAGCCTGACTTGTTTTGGCTCCCGAGTGCCCGCCACGAGGATGGAGACCCTCACCGTGGGCTCTGCAAGCATCCCTGCAGCTCGGGGCTTGCCCCCAGCACTGGGGAGGCGACTGGTTGTGCTGTGCTGCACAATGTGGGAGGAGGAGCTCCCGCTGAGAACGAGAGGCGTCAACAGCCTGACCCTGGGGGTCCCCACGCTGGAAGCGAAGCAGGGAGCGATGAGGCTGCTGTCACCAGCGCTGCGTTTTGTGGCTTTTCCTCTGCTGTGGTCCCTCGGGGGGTGCCTGGCTCCCTGGCAGCTGCCTCTGGAGCTGTGTCACCGGCTTCAGAGCGCCTGTTTTGTCCCTCTGCAGCACGACGCCGGTGCCTCGGGGTGGGCTGTGGCCCCACTGGGGATGATGCTCTGCGCCGTGAGTGACACGGAGCCGCTGCAGGGACCTTCCCCTCGCGCCGCAGGGGAAGTGCTGACTCCAAACAGGCTGTGAGGTCCTCGCCGTGGGGTTTCCCAGCTCTCTCTCGAGTGATAGCAAAACCCAGATACCCTGCTCGCGAAAAAATCCCTGCTCCTTGTACTCCTGCCCCGCGTGGGCGGCCGGGCGGTGAGCGGTGACTGTGCCGTGCGCTGCGTACAGTAAAGCGGCCCCGTCAGCTGGGAAATGACTTTTTGCTCTGCAAGGAATTACTGTAAGCCTTCGAGGGGCCTCGCAGCAGTCCCCGGGCACAGCAGGAAGGTGGAGTGGGGGTGCCTGTATTGCAGGGGCACCGTCCCCTTGCCCGAGGGGCTCCTGGGGGTGCCGGTGCCCCCTGGCCAGGCTGGGGGTCAGGGCTGGGCTCTGGCCCCAGAGGCTGTGCCGGCTGCTGGCTGGGCTCAGCCTGCCCCAGGGCTCCAGCATGCTCCAGGAGGAGCAGCCTCGACAGCTGTAATGTTTCTGTGGCGTGCCTTTCCTTTCATGGGGTGTCTATTTTGCAACCCCCAAGTGTTTTGATCCCGGGAGGAAGGGGGGGCGGGGGTGTTCACCCTGGCACCGCGTGTCCGGTGCAGGGATCCAAGCCGTGCCGGGCATGCCCCGTCTTTTACATGCAGCAACAGTTCTAGCAACATCTGCTGGCTGATAAAAGGTACGTTTGCCGTGAACTGCTTCTCCCTGCCGCGTTGGGAAATGTCGAGGGGGAGGCACACATGTGAACACGGCTTCCTGGCCGATAGGGGTGAGCCGAGTTGCTGATAAAGCAGAATCCACCCATCTAGCTGCACCAGAGGGGCCGGGAGCGCCGGCTGCCTGCAGCAGGGCGTGCTTCTCGCCCCGGGGGCGCGCTCTCCATCCACGCAGCCCGGGAGCGATGCGCGGCCGCCTGGGATGCCACAGCCCCCCCGATGGGTGACATGGTCACGACGCTGCTCCCCGCTCTGAAGCGCTCGCTGGTGAGTTTTGCAATCTCTCCATTTCTCGCCGTGACCTCGCGTCTTCTCCTCGTTGCGCTACGTAAAGGCCGGGCTCCGGCAGGGCTCTGCCTGGGGAGGGAATTGGGGAAAAGGCTGGTGCTCAGCCGGGGCTGGGAGCGCCTGCGTGGCCTCGGCGGCTTTGTGTTCCTCTGTCTGCAAAGCTTTTACAGGGAAAAGCTTTGTGGCACATCTCAGCCTCTCGCTTGTGGCACATCGCAGCCCCTCGCCCGGGCTCAAACACAGCTGTAAAACGATCCCTGGCCTGCTTGTTGTTCAGCCCTGGCGCTTTGGGGCTCGACGGCACAGCTGCCTCGGCCCCGGCACGCTCCTTTTATAAACCCATTCGTCACCAAGGCCTCTTAGAAATGTTTAGGAGGGGGATTCACGGTGCAGCCCGCGCTCTTGTGGCCAGTGTCACCGCTGAATTCAGGGCCGTGGTGCCCCTGGGTGCTGCTCCCGTGGGCAGAGCAGGCGCTGCCGTCTCACGGAGCGCCACCGGCTCCAGCTCCTGGGCTGTGCTTTGCCTCCTGAACGCTGCAGGGGGGTCGCACTGCCCTGCCCGGACCCCCAGCAGGAGCCACAGCACGGCACGGACAGGACCCAGCTGGTTTTTGATCCCTGTGGTTGTGGGGTCACATCCCCACGGTGCCGCTCCGCGGGGTGGCTGGGGCGTGCGCCGGGCACTGGGAGCGTGAAGGCAAACGCTGAGCCCTACTGCCATCGTGCGAGGGACCCCGGGGTGCTGTTAGGAATGAGATTTTGTTGCCTCAAACATCCGTGTTTTGGCTTTTTGTTCCCATTCTGACGAGTTCCCTCTGCTCCCGGCTTCCCTGGCTGTTTGCGTGCCCCCTCCTCCTGCTGCCCCGCTCCCAGAGCACCTCCCCGCGGGGCTGCGTTGTGGCACCTGCACCTCAGCTCCTAAAAACTCCCCAAAAATACCCTAAAGTGCCTGCCTGGTGTGCCGCAGCAGGGCGGGAAGCCTCGGCATGCACGCACCGCCAGCAGGCAGTTTTCCTCCTGACCGGGCACGCAAATTGGCTGCTCGTCGGCACCCGAGGGAGCCCAGGTGCTGCCAGCTGTGCCGGGACCCCTGGGGGAGGCAGAGGGGGGGTCACTGCGGGTCCCCCGGTGGTGGCTCCTGCACGTCCCCCCCCCTGGGATGCAGCGGGGCCGCGGGTGCCTGCGCTGCCCCGTCTGGGCTCCGCGCTGCAAATCCCACTTGGCAGGTAACTGGCTTAGCCCGATTGTGCGCGCTCGCTGAGGCATGGCAGATAAAATGAAATTGTGTCTCCAGCCCCAAATCGGGACTAATTCGACGCTGCGATGAGCTTAATCCTCGCTGCCTTCCGATCAGCCCAGCCCTCCCGGGCTTGTGCTGGGTCTGGGCAGGAATTAGCGACGTGTGGGTGCAGGGTGGGGGGGGGACACGGGTCCCAGGTGATCCCCTCCGTGCCAGCAGGGGCTGGCACCGTGTCCGACGGGTGCTGCACCCCCAGCCGCTGCCTTCCCGAGGTGTAGGGCAGGGCTGGGGTCTCGGTGTGTCGGGGAAAATACTTGGTTAGACGTGCGGGGTTGGGGTGAGCCAGGGGGGGCAGCGGGGGGCTGCTCCTGCAGCACACGGGAGCTGTCGTCTCTCAGCCCCTGGATTTGAGGGATTTCTCCGGGATTTCGTTGGGTATTTCGGTGGTTTTGTTATTACGCAGGTTTCTGGCCCTTTGTGGTCGGGAGGGAAAATCTGCAGAGGGGAGCCAGGCGTTCCCCAAGGCTGCAAATGCCAGAGGGCAAAATCAAACCCGGCGCCGGTGGCTCGTAGTAGTGTCACCTGAAGGCAGTCCCTGCTGCCACCCTGAGTCACCGGCTGCGGGTTTTTGGGTGGCAGCGCTGCTCCCTGCCCATGCTGAGGCTGCGCAGGGGACGTGGGACGCTGCCACCTACGTGCGCGGCCAGCTTCTCCCCCTGGACAGCGTCAGGCCATGTTTGGGGTTTCCTTGTTCCTGTCGGAGCTCAAGTTCTCCATTTTGGCTCCCAAAGCCGCCGGCCCACGGGGCCGCTGCCGGATGGGAGAGCCCAGAGCCCTCGGCCCTGCCTTGGGGAGGAAATATTGAATTTTCAGAGCCGCCGATGCCTCGTCCGTGAGCCCCCAGTTCCCCTGCCCCAGCACGGACGCTTTCCAGAGGGGGCTGCAGGCTCGAGGCGGGCAGGGCACCGACCCCGCTGCCTCCCTCGATGCTGCCAGGGCCGAGCCCTCGGCCGCTGCTGCTCTGGTGCACGAGGCCACCAGGAGCCATCGGGGCGCCGCGCTTCTAGAAGGAGCTCGCCTCCTGCGCCCGGCGCTGCCTCCACCTCTCTACCGAAAGCTGGAAACCACATGCAGGCGTAGAAGGGGTGAGCTGCGCCAATTCCAGTGCCGGCTGCCCTCCACGGCTCGCTGGGGAGCTCGCTGAGGAGCTTGGAGCAGGCAGGGGGGGAGCCGGGGGTTGCTCTCCAGGGGCTTTGCCCCGGTGCCGTGCGCCGCGAGCGGAGCCGTGGGGCGCAGGTGAGTCCAAGCCCTCCATCCCTCCCGCATCCCTCCCACCTCAGTCCTCCGGGTCCTTCCCTGGCTGCCCTCTGGGTGTGGGGGCACTGGGGGGGGGGACTCAGCCCCATGGGGAGATGCCGTGCCCTGCTGTGGGGTTAAGGAGCAGGGGGCGCCGGCCCCGTGCCCCCGGCCGCACCATGCAGGCGGCAGCGGAGGAAGCTGCCGGAGCCCGGCGCTGCCCGACTGCGCAGGCAGCTGACATTTTGGAAGGAAATAGCTGCTCTCAGCTCCTTCCTGTAGCTCGCAGCCTGCGAAACGGCCGCAACGGGAGCCCGGCTGCGCCGGCAGTGCCTGCCCGGAGCCGTGGCCGGGCTGCCCCCCCGGGTAGGGGGGCCGCAGCGGGCAGAGCAGCGCTGACCCCGGTGAGTACGGCCACGGGACGGGCACCCAGCCAGTGGTGCCGGTCTGGTGCTGTGGAGAAACCAGGAACCATACCCGGGGGCTCATCCAACACCCCAAACTTGTGTGTGGGGAGGCTGTGGCACGGCTGCCCGTGGGCTCCAGGGCCCTTTTGGGTGCGTGCCGAGCCCTTTGTGTCCCCTCCGGGCAGGGCAGGACGTGGTGCGCAGCGGCCACGTGCGAGGCGAGGGGGCTGAACTGGGGCAGCCCCGGGGGGGCTGAGCTGAGAGGGGCCGCCCCAGGGGGCTCCGTGCGTCCTCCAGGCATGCGTGTGGCGTGCAGGGGATGAGCGGGTGTCTGCAAGGGGGCTGGGTGGGGACCAGAGCCCATCCATGTGCCGAGCAGCCAGCGCTGGCTGCCAGCGTTACCATTCCCAGGGCTTGGCTGGGGGCTGGGGGCCGCATCCTGCCCCGGAGGGGAGCCAGCACGGGGCTGCCCTTCTCAGGGGGGATGCGGGTTCCCACCCGGCGGGGGCAGGCGTGATGCCCCCGGGGCAGGACCGGAGACACCCCCAAAGCAGCACCAACCCTGCGGGGAGCTCAGGGTCCGGCTCTGCGGCCGCCAGCGAGGCCGGCTTTGACCTGGAAGCGATCGTGGGCTCCCGGAGGTGCCGAGAAACCACGTGTCCCTGTGTTTACTGCGGCGGGCGCAGGGCTGCTACGTGCCGGCGGGACGGAGCCAGCACCGCTGGTGGGGCCCCGCGCTCCCCTGCCGGGAAGGAAGCTGCACCCAGAACCCCCCCTCTGCGGGGCCGGGGGAGCGCCAGGCAAAGGGCAGCGCGGGAGCCACGGCGGCAGAGGGGCTGCACGGGGCTGGCGTGCTGGGGGGGTGTAGCCAGAGCCCTTTGGGGGGGCCCCCCCCAGGGCTTTAGCTGGCTCTGCGGGGGGAGGGAAGGGAGCTGGGGCTGCATTCGGTGGCGGTTTTGGGGTGAGGGCAGGGGATGAGCCTGGGGTGTGAGCTGAGTGTCAGGAGTGCGCCATGGCTGTGCCACGAGCGCCCCACGAGCATCCCACAGCTCTGTGCCACCAGTGTCCTGCGAGCACCCCATAGCTGGGTGTCCCGAGCACTCCATGGCTGTGCCATGAGCACCCCATGAGCATCCCACGGCTGTGCCATGAGCATCCCACAGCTCTGTGCCACGAGCATCCCATGAGCATCCCACGGCTGTGCCGTGAGCGCCCCACAAGCATCCCATCAGCACCCCCCGGCTCACTGGGGCAGCAGCAGCCCCTAGGTGCAAGCCCTGGGGCAGGAGCTGCCCATGGTGGGGCTTTGCCGTGCTCGCTGCGCATGGGAACGGGAACGTGCCGCCGCCAGCCTCGCCCTGTGAGACATTTCCCTCCTTTTGTCTGCTCGCCCGTGGGCTTGGGTTTTCCTGCAGCACGCGATCCGGAGCTGGCCGCCAGCCCGCTGCCGTGTCTGAGAGGCTCCGGAGCTGCCAAGGGGGGCTTTGGCCATAACCCGGCCCTGCAAGTGTCCCTTGGCCACCCGCAATCCCACACCCTTCCGTGCGTTCCTCCCCATGTCCCCACCTTTACCCCGCCGGGAAACCTCTTTTAGGTGAATTTCACCCATTTTGCAGCCACTTTGGCAACGCCGATTGGGCAGCGGGGCCGCTGGACACTGAAGCATCCTCCACATCTCCCATCCTTCTCTTCACAGGCGTCCCCTGCCCGAGCTGTCCCCTCGGGGGCTGCCATCCCCGACCCCGACCCTTGTCCAGCCGCCGTGCGCGCAGCCTGGCAGGCGCTAAGTCACCGGCGAGCGAGTCGCTGTGGCTTGTTGAGCTGCTGCTGGTTAACCGAGCTGCGGTAATGGGTGGGATTACAGCTCGCTGCCAGCACTAAGTACATGCAAAGCAGCTTCAAACCACTGCAATTACCCGGCCCTTGCAATCGTTGGAACGTGCATGTGGCCGGGTGCTGCAGTTGGCCCCGGGTGCTGCTCGGGGGGGACGGTGCTGGTCCTGGGTCCGGCCGAGGCACCGATTGCTCTCGGGTCTTCCCCGGGGATGCAGGAGCGTGGGGCTGCTGGCAAAGCGCGGCACCTCGGCCGCTGTGTGGCCACACTGCAGGCTCAGGATGCTCTGCGGGATGGGGATGCCCTTCGTGGGGCTTGCTAGGTCTTTTGGGATCGTGCTGAGGCCGTGGCTGGCTCTAGTGATGGGGAAGGTCCCCTTGTGACGGCGGGGGCTGGCTGCGGGCACCCTGCGGCTCCCCGGGGAGGTTTGCCAGTCTGGGGGTGCGGCACGGGAGACCAAAATGAGCCCGTGGATGCGTTGGTGATGCTTTTTGGACATAGGGAGTGTGTCGGAGCCCATCTCGAGTGCTTTTTGGGGCTGTCCCCGCCGTCCTGCTCCCCTCGCCAGCACTGGTGTGCCGCTGGCTCGGTTTGCACCCGGCTGCTCCCAGCAGCAACATTCACAGCTCCTGCTCCAAGGCCGCAGCCTTTTGTCCGCCCTGATGGCGAGCTGACCGCAGCGGCAGAGCAATACTTGTTGCTTAACAACCCGGTGAAGTGGAATAGGAAGCGCTCTGCTGCTGTGCGCTGGGAATGCATCACCCCCTTTGGATAGGAGGAGCTGCGTTTCTTTGCGTTTCGCCCGTGCCGATGCCCCTGCGCTGGGCTCGGGCTGCTCCCGGGGTTTCATCCGTTCCTGGAGCAGTAAAAAAACCATTCCTGGTGTTCCCTGCAGCTCTGCCAGCAGCAGCGTTTTCCATCGGTGCCTCTTATCAATCGCTCGCAATTGCTGACTGCCCGTACGCATCCTGCTGTCGGCCTCCCCCCTTTCCCTGCCCCTCATCGCTTTCGGTTTTTATTGCCTCCCCCAGGTCCTCCTTACCAGAAGGGTTTGTAACTCGGCGCCTTTTCCGTGAATGTGGAAATGTTCCTTGCTTTTTATAGGGGAAAAAATCATTTATAGCCAACTGGGTTATTGTTCCTCTTCCTGTGCATGGGGTAGGGTGTGGAGGAAAGCTCTGGCTTTTCAGAGGTGCCGGCTCCCTGCTGCGTCTGGTGTGTGTGTGGCTGCCCCGTGGTGACCCAAGGGGCAGTGGGGATGCCAGGGCCACCCCAAAAAGCGCTTGGTAGAGCCCCACGCTGCGGTGCTGGGGCACAGGGTGGGCGGCTGTGCTGCTGTGTGACCACTGGGGCTGCTCCTGGCCGCTGGGGCTCCTCTCCAGCCCCCCCATCCCTCCTCACTTCCCTGGCCGTGCGCCCACGGCGCTGCAAAGGGAAACCATGGCTGCGTGGCGTGGCCGAGGCAGCAGAGCCTTGGCAGCAGAGCTCTCCGAGGGCTGTCCCTAGAAATCAGCGGGTGGCACGCAGCCGGGGTCCCCCTGTTCCCTGGCGGTGACACCGGCAGCGCTCGGTGACGGAGAAGCCGAGAAGCTCCTGCAAATTTTTGGGGTGCTCAGTGCCTGGCACCCCCCGCGTGATGCCCACCCTCTGCGTGTCCCCGGCAGGTGGTGAGCCATGGCGGTGTGGATCCAGGCGCAGCAGCTCCAGGGCGAAGCCCTGCGGCAGATGCAGGCTCTCTACGGGCAGCACTTCCCCATCGAGGTGCGGCACTACCTGTCGCAGTGGATCGAGAGCCAGGCATGGTAGGTCGGGGGGGCACCCGTCCCCGTGGGTCCTGCTGCCCCCCACCCCACCACCAGCCTCGGCAGCGTCTGTGCCGGGGGGTCCCCGCTGTGCCGAGCTCCCCCCGTGGGGCCGGGCTGGCCTGATGCCATCGCTCTGTGTCCCTTTGTGTCCCCCCCCCCTCCTCTCAAGGGACTCCATCGACCTCGACAACCCCCAGGAGAACGTGAAGGCGACGCAGCTGCTGGAGGGGCTGATCCAGGAGCTGCAGAAGAAGGCGGATCACCAAGTGGGTGAGGACGGCTTCCTGCTGAAGATCAAGCTGGGGCACTACGCGACGCAGCTGCAGGCGAGTGGGGACACGGGGGGGATGCGGCGGGTGGGGGCTAAAGGTGGGGGGGGGGTCCTTGCCCCACGCCTGGCTTAATTTGTGTCTCCCCTGCAGAACACGTACGACCGCTGCCCCATGGAGCTGGTGCGCTGCATCCGGCACATCCTCTACCACGAGCAGAGGCTGGTGCGGGAGGCGAACAACGTGAGTGGGGGCTGAGGGCATCAGCATTTGTGGGGGGGGGAAGGATGTGGGTCCTGTGGGGTGGGGGCTTGCTGGGGGTCTCCGTCACCTGGGCTGTGGGAGCAGCCCTGAGGCAGGGGGTGCCCGGCACCCAGGTGGGGTGGGGAGGGTCCCCATGGCCCCCCAGCACCCAGGTGGGGCAGGGAGGGTCCCCACTGCCCCCCAGCACCCAGGCAGGTTGGGGAGGGTCCCCACTGCCCCCCAGCTCCCAGGTGGGGTGGGGAGGGTCCCCATTGCCCCCCAGCTCCCAGATGGGTTGGGGAGGGTCTCCCAACCCATGATGAGCGCTCGTGGTGCCCGTGCAGAGCCCCTCTCCGGCCGGCTCCCTGGTGGATGCCATGTCGCAGAAGCACCTGCAGATCAACCAGACCTTCGAGGAGCTGCGGCTCATCACGCAGGACTCGGAGAACGAGCTCAAGAAGCTGCAGCAGACGCAGGAGTACTTCATCATCCAGTACCAGGAGAACATGCGCCTCCAAGGTGGATTTGGGGACGGGGAGGGGACGGCGGGGACTCGGGCGCCGGCGGTGCTGGCCCTGACGCTGCGCCCCGTCCCCCAGCCCAGTTCTCCCAGCTCTCCCAGCTGGGTCCCCAGGAGCGCCTGTCCCGGGAGACGACGCTGCAGCAGAAGAAGGCGTCGCTGGAGGCTTGGCTGCACCGGGAGGCCCAGACACTACAGCAGTACCGCGTGGTGAGTGCCGGGGGAGCGTCCCCGTGCCGGCTGTGCCGCTGTCCCCGCGCCCCGTGACACCGTGCCGCCTCGCAGGAGCTGGCCGAGAAGCACCAGAAGACGCTGCAGCTGCTGCGCAAGCAGCAAACGACCATCCTGGACGACGAGCTGATCCAGTGGAAGCGCCGGCAGCAGCTGGCGGGGAACGGGGGTCCCCCCGAGGGTACCCTGGACGTGTTGCAGACCTGGTGGGTGCGCCGGGGGGGGGGGAGAAGCAGGGGGGGGTGCTGAGGCCCCGCACGGTGGGTGCTGAGCCTCGCTGCCCCCCTCCCCAAGGTGCGAGAAGCTGGCGGAGATCATCTGGCAGAACCGGCAGCAGATCCGCCGGGCCGAGCACTTGTGCCAGCAGCTGCCCATCCCCGGCCCCGTGGAGGAGATGCTGTCGGAGCTGAACGGCACCATCACCGACATCATCTCTGCCCTGGTCACCAGGTAGAGGCGGCCTCCACGTGGGCTCGGGGGGGGGTTTAGGGGGGCCACTTGGGGGCCTTGGGCTTCTGTGCCCGCCTGCCCCTGACCCCCGTGCCCCCCCAGCACCTTCATCATCGAGAAGCAGCCCCCCCAGGTGCTGAAGACGCAGACCAAGTTCGCGGCCACCGTGCGGCTCCTGGTGGGGGGGAAGCTGAACGTGCACATGAACCCCCCCCAGGTGAAGGCCACCATCATCAGCGAGCAGCAAGCCAAGGCCCTGCTGAAGAACGAAAGCACCCGCAAGTAATGCCCTGGGGCGGGGTTGGGGGGGGACATACACTGCAGCAGGACCCCGGGGGGGGTTGCCCCCCGTCCTCGTGGTCCCCCTGACCCCGCGTGTTCCCATGCAGTGAGAGCAGCGGGGAGATCCTCAACAACTGCTGCGTGATGGAGTATCACCAGGCCACCGGCACGCTCAGCGCCCACTTCCGCAACATGGTGAGAGCCCCCCCCGTGTCCCCGTGTCCCCCTGTCCCAACGCTCACCCCGTCCCCTGTCCCCTCGTGTCCCCACCCGTGCCGTGTCCCCCTGCGGTCACCCTTGTGTTGCCATCCCTGCCGTGTTCGCAGGTCGTGTCCCCAGCTCTCCTTCCGTGTGCTCACCCCTCGTGTCCCCAGCTGTCCCCTGTCCCCCTGTGTCCCCAACTGTCCCCAGCTGCCCCCCTGTGCTCACCCCTCGTGTCCCTGCAGTCCCTGAAGCGGATCAAGCGCTCGGACCGCCGCGGCGCTGAGTCAGTGACGGAGGAGAAGTTCACCATCCTCTTCGAGTCCCAGTTCAGCGTCGGTGGCAACGAGCTGGTCTTCCAGGTGAAGGTAAAGCCACCAACCCCCGGCAAGCTGCGGGGCACCGTGCCCACGCTGTGGGGCTGGGCTGAGGCCATGGGGCGGCCGCGGTGCCCCACGTCCCCTCCCACCTCAGCCCCGTGCCGCTGTCCTCCCTCCCGGCAGACGCTGTCCCTGCCCGTGGTGGTGATCGTGCACGGCAGCCAGGACAACAACGCCACGGCCACCGTGCTCTGGGACAACGCCTTTGCGGAGCCTGTGAGTGCCACCACCCATGGGGGGGGACCGGAGGGGCTCCGTATCCCCCCCCCGGGGGGCTGCGAGAGGGAGCAGGGCTCGCCTGGTGGGGCTGGGTGATGGCAGGGGGGCAGTGCTCCGTGCTGACCCTGTGCCGTGTCCCGTGCCCCCCCCAGGGCCGCGTCCCCTTCGCGGTGCCCGACAAGGTGCAGTGGCCGCAGCTCTGCGAGGCGCTCAACATGAAGTTCAAGGCGGAGGTGCAGAGCAGCCGCGGGCTGACGAAGGAGAATTTGGTGTTCCTGGCGCAGAAGCTCTTCAACAGCACCAGCACCCACCTGGAGGATTACAGCAGCACCACGGTGTCCTGGTCCCAGTTCAACCGGGTGAGGGGGCGGCTCGGTGCCGGGGTGGGGGGTGTACGGGGAGCCCCGGGGTGCTGCCGTGCGCCGGGACCAAGGCTTTGCTACGCCCACGGTGCCAGCGCTTGTGCCGAGGGATGGGATGGGGCATGTTCCTCCTAGGGTTTTGGCAGAGTGGTGCATAACCCAACCAGGAGCCGGCTGCAGCGGGGCAGAGGCTTTGCCTGCCGTGCTCGGATGATTATGAGGGGCTGGAGCCGTGCTCTGCGCCCTCGGGGAGGCATTGCTGGGGTCCCCCCGGGGCTGTGCCGTGGGGCTGGGCGCTGCTACAAGGCCAGCTGGTGTGTGAGTGCTCATTTTTTCTGGGCATTTCACCAGGAAAACCTGCCCGGGAGGAATTACACCTTCTGGCAGTGGTTCGACGGCGTGATGGAGGTGCTGAAGAAGCACTTGAAGCCACACTGGAACGACGGGTAAGAGCCTTCCCCCCCACCCCGTGCGTGCCGCCCCGTGCCCCCCCCCACACACACACCCTGATGCCCTCGCTGTGCCTAGGGCCATTCTGGGCTTCGTCAACAAGCAGCAGGCGCACGACCTGCTCATCAACAAGCCCGACGGCACCTTCCTCCTGCGCTTCAGCGACTCGGAGATCGGCGGCATCACCATCGCGTGGAAATTCGACTCCGGTGAGCGCAGCCCTCGATTTTTCCCCCACCCCATGCTTGGCTTTCCCAGTTTGGGCACCGATGCGTCCCCGTCCATGGGGCTCGTGGTGGTCCTTCGGCACCTTCTGTGTGTCCCCTCGGTGCCAGCACCGTCACCGCCGGGCACACGGTGCCCCTGTGAGGACACAGCTGCCCCCAGGTCCCTTGGCGAGCTGCGCCTCATCCCTAAATGCTGTAGGAAGGATAAAGCGCAGGAACCTGGGATTTTCTGGGCTGGTTTCGCAGTCACGGCGAGCCCCGGGCGTCATCGCGGTCCTCGCTCTTGTTTTCCAGCTGAGAGGATGTTCTGGAACCTGATGCCTTTCACCACCAGGGATTTCTCCATCCGCTCCCTGGCCGACCGCCTCGGGGACCTCAGTTACCTCATCTACGTGTTCCCCGACCGGCCCAAGGACGAGGTCTTCTCCAAGTACTACACGCCGGTTCTCTGTGAGTCCACGCCAGGTAGCGCTGCCCCTTCACCCCTCACGCATCCCTCTCTCTGCATCCTACCGGGGGGGAGCCTGGGCTCGCCGGCACCCCCCTGCCCGGGGCCGCATCCAGCCCGGGGGGGTGCCCTGCAGCTCGCCATGCTGTGAGCCCCCAGCACGCGCCTCCTGCTCCAAGCCTCAGCGCTGCCTTTTTTTTTGTTTTTTTTTTTGTTTTTTTTTGCTCTAGCTAAAGCCGTGGACGGGTACGTGAAGCCACAGATCAAGCAAGTAGTGCCAGAGTAAGTATGAGGCTGCACAGTCCCGTGGGAGACAGCTCGGGGGCTTTGCATCCCGGCCCCCCCCAACCCTAGGGGTCAGCGCTGGGGGCGAGGAGAGCACGGTGCCCGTGCCCAAGCAAGGGGGCTTTTTGGGGGCTGCTGTGCCCCCCAAAAAAGACCGAATTCCCCCCAGCCAGCAGGGTTGGGACCTTGTTGGTCGCTGCTCTTTATGGGGACAAGGGTAGGGTTTGGGGTCTGGGTCCCTGCGGGGGGGGATGGGTGAATTTCCCGGGACGTACCCACATCCCATCCCGTGCCACCTCGTCCCCGCAGGTTTGTCAGCGCATCAGGCGACGCTGCCCCCGGGGGGGCCACCTACATGGACCAGGCTCCTTCGCCCGCCGTCTGCTCCCAGCCCCATTACAACATGTATGCCCAGAAGTAGGTATCGGGTCCCTCGTGTGTGTGTGTGTCCCCAACTTCCAGCAGCCTGTCCCTAACCCCAAACCTCACCCCTCACCCCCCCCCCGTGCCTCCCGCAGCCCCGACGCCGTGCTGGACCCCGAGGGCGACTTTGACCTCGACGACACCATGGATGTGGCCAGGCACGTGGAGGAGCTGCTGCGGCGCCCCATGGACAGTCAGTGGATCCCCCACGCCCAGTCGTGACCCCTGGGCGTCCCAACCCCATGCCAGCCGCCCCCCCCCCGGCGCTGCGGGGACTGTGCTGTGTTCGTGTCTCTGTGCCCAGCTGGGGGGGGGGGGTGTCAGGCGGCGATGTTGGGGGGGGTCTCGCCCCCAGAGATTTGCTCTGTGCTGTCCAGAAACGCAGGGTGGTGTCCGGCTCTTTGGTGTTTATGCCCTTGTATAAAAGGCAGCGGATTTGTCGCATGTTCCCCCCCCTCCCCTCCACTCCCCCCCCCCCCGTGTTCCTTTTCAAAAAGGCCCAGCTTTGGCTTTCTGCTTCTGTGAGCACCGGCCCCCCCGGAGCTGCCCCGCTTCCCGTAGCCTTGTCCTGTGCCCCCCCCCCCCAAAAAAAAAAAAAAAAAGTGGGGTTTCTCGGGGCGGGGGGGGCCGAGGGGGGGGCCTGGATTTGCTTTCTGCAGTCGTCACCAGGAATGTACGTGTGCGCCTTGGTGTTTTCAGCTCCTTGACTCTGTTCCCCAAGGGAGGGGGGGGGAGCATGGGGCGGGAGGGGGGGGGATATAGCCCGTGCTGGTGCTCTGCGCCATCGGGGGTCCCCTCCTGGACCTCATCTCCTCCTCTGGCCCATCAAGGATTTGGGAGCCCCCCCCGGCTCCCAGCCCCGCTGTGTCCCCCTCTGGCCTCTCCAGCACCAGCGCAGCAAGGGGGGGGCAGAGCAGGAGGGGAACCGGAGAGGGGGCGGCAGGGACGGGCACGGGGTGGGGTGGGGTGGGGGGGGCAGGATGGGAACCCTCCGTTCCCCCCCCCCCACCTCCTGCCTCGTCCCATCCGTGTCCCCGAAACTCTGGTTGCCTGGCGATGTTATTTTTCTACCACAGAGTAAATAAAGCACGGAATATTTTTGTAACACAAAAGCGCTGGCTTTCACGTGTGTCTTGGGGAGGGCACAGCCCCCCGCCCTAATAAATTTGGGGGTTTGGGGGTGGGGGGGGGAAGGAGCCCTTCGTCTGCATCCCAGGGGGTTGGGCAGCAGGTGATGCTCTCCGAGGTGAGCGTATGGGGAGGGGGCTTTTTTTTCCCAGGGAAAAAGCAAAACAAGTGGCACTATTTTATTATTTTTTTAAAGCAAAGGAGCCGCCTCTTGCCGGGGTTTGGAGAGCGGGAGGGGCTTGCTCTTGTTTTTTTTCACCGCGATTTATTTCTCTGCCTGCGTTGGCCCGTGGGGAGGGGGGGGGGGGGCTGGAGAGGGAGGCTGGGGCCGGGGCTGTGTCTCTCTTTTTTTTTTTTTTTTTTAATTGTAGAAAGGAGAAAACAAAAGGAAATAAACCCCGTCATTTAACGCGGAGGCGGAGCCGCCCTGTGGTCATTTCCCCGAGGGGGGGGGACGAATTCAGCGGGCGGGACCGGTCGCGCTCATTGCCCGTCATTTCTGCCGGAGACGGAAAACACCGGGGGGGGGGGTGGGGGGGGACAGACCCGGTGCTAACGGGTCCGATACGGGACTGGAAGGGGGGGGGGGAAAGGACAGCGACAAGGGGCGGGGGTCCCGGGGGCGGCGGCGGGGCGGTGCTGGGTTGGGTTGGGGGGGGGGGGTCTCCGGTTGCGCTGCGCCCTCGGGATGCTGTTGGCGACGGTCCCCGGGATGCTGCTGCCGGTGGCCCCCGGGTTGCTTCTGCCGGTGGCTACCGGGTTGCTGCTGGCGGTGGCCGTGGCCGTGTGCATAGTGCTGCCCGGGCCCCCCCCGTTGCCCCCCCGTCTCCTCCTGGCCGCGCTCCGCCGCGCCGCGCGGTGGCACCGGCGCCGCCTGGAGGTGCTGGGCACCGACGTGCGCCACAGCCAGGAGCGGAGGCTCCGGGGGCTGCTGCCCCCCGGCACGGCACAGGGTGAGCCCGGGGTGGGGGGGGGCTTCGGTGGGCCGGGAGGGGTGAAGAAGCAGTGGGGAGTTGAGGTTTTGGGGTTCTGGGGTTCTGGGGGGGGGGTTGTGGGATGCGCGTCTCAGCCCGCCCCGTCTGTTCGCAGGGTCGGATGATTTTCGGGAGCGTCACCCCCTAACGGGGGGCTGCGCTGATGGGGAGCAGGGGGACACGGTGGCACCGCTGAGCCTCTGGGCTTTGCTCCGGGGCTGTTGGGGCTGCGAGCCCCCGCTGCAGGTAGGGGGGCAGCCGGGCTGCCGAGGGGAGCAGTGGCCCCCCCCTGAACGGTGCCCAGCACCCTGCATCCCTCACCTCTCTTCCCCACGCAGGGCTCCCTGCTCTACCTGGACGCCCTCCACGCCGCCTTCCCGCAGGCTCTGGCCCCCCGCAGCACCGCGCTGCTCAGCTGGGCACCCGCTCGCCCCCGCGCCCCGGCGGGCTGGCCCCTGCCCACCCTGTACTGCTCGCCCCCCGAGGCGGGGGCTTTGCCTTCTCGGACAGCAGCACTGCGGGTGCAGCTGCTTTTCGCCCTACGGGTGCGCTCCCTGCGGGTGCTGGAGGCTGGGTTGGCCTCCGAGCTGCACGATGCGCTGGCGACCCTGCGCTCCGGCTGGCCCGAGCTGGCCCAGGACCTGGCGTTGGGCAGGTTGAGCCCCCAAAACGGGCTGCCCGAGGATTTGCGGGGCCGGCTGCAGGAGCTGCTGGTCCCTGACGCCGCCCGGGCGGCCGAGCTGCGGGCTGAGTGCGCCCAGGGCTTCGAGGGCATCGCGCAGCGCCTGTGGCCACGGCTGCAGGTGGTGGTGGTGGGGACGGCGCACGGCGGGGAGCGGCTCTACCTCGACGCCCTGCGCCAGGCCGAGTGCAAGGGGCTGCCGTTGTACTGCCCCTTCTACCGGGCGGCAGGAGGTGAGTGTGGCCCGAGCAGGGCTGTCCCGTGGGGGCACGGGTGGGGGGACCTCTGTCGTGCAGCAGCGCAAAGCCCGGCAGGGGTGGGTGCCTCGCTGCGTGCAGCATCCCGCCCCGCAGAGATCTCTCAGCTCTCCAAAAAAAGCCGTGCCGTGCTCTCTTCTTGGAAGGGGGTGAGAAGGGAAGGGGTCTGGGGGGGGTCACACTGACCGGTGCTGCCCTCTGTCCAGCCCTTCTCGGTGTCAACCTATGGCCGGAGGAGCCAGAGCCCCGCTTCTTGCTGTGCCCCAACTGGGCTTTCTGCGAGTTCCTGCCCTGCCCGGCTGAGGATGAGGAGGAGCAGAGGACGGTGCTGCTGGGCGAGCTCTGGGAGGGACGGGAGTACAGGCTGGTCCTGACCGCCCGGCCTGGGGAGTACAGGTGCTGCTGCCACGCTCCGGGGGGGGGCTACACACCCTGTGCCACCCCCCACCAGCTTCACACTCCCTGTGCCTGCGCAGGTGCCGTGCCGGAGAGGTGCTGAGGGTGGCCGGCTTCAACAAGCAGTGTCCCGTGGTGGAGCCCGTGCGCAGGTGAGGACACCCCAGCTCCACATCCCTCACCTGGCGGGGGTGTCTCTGTGCGGGGCAGGTGCTGGTGGCACCCCCGGCACGGGGCACCCACCCGTGCCCAAACCGGCAGGGAGAGCCAGGTGCTGAGTGTGCGGGGTGAGAGCATCCCCGAGGAGCGCTTCTGCCAGAGCCTGTGCCGTGCCGTGGGCATGTGGCCGGGCGCTCGCCTGATCGACTATGTCTGTGTAGAGAGCTCCCTGCTGGGTGAGTCACCCCCAAAATGCCCCACCGGTCACCCCAAAATGCTGCCAGCACCACCCAAACCGGGCTGGGGGCTGCAGGGTGGCTTTAACGTGCTCGTGGCACCGCTGCAGGCGCCTCCTCGGGGGTCTGCGCCCCCCATTACGAGGTGTTCGTGGAGCTGCGGGGCCTGAGGGACCTGTCGGAGGGGCAGCGCTACAAGGTAAGGGGGGGGCTCGGGGTTTTGGGGGCTCTGCTGGCTGCAGGCAGTTGTAGATCCTGCTGCCTGCTCCCTGCCCGCCCCCTGCCAGCCCCGCAGCCACGCGGTGGCAGTGCTCTCCGGCAGCCTGGGCACCTCGGGAACAGCTTTGCTGAGCCGTGCTGGCTGCAGGAACCTGCAGGCAGTGCCCGTGGGGCTGCTGCATGCAGGGGGGGGTGCACGGGCACGGCTGTGCAGGAGGGCTTTTGGCAAAGGGGCTGCTTCCCTGCAGCGGGGAGGTCTGGGGGGTCAGGGTGTTATGGGGAGGGTGGCAGCTGCTCTGTAGGGAAAACGTTTTTAGGACCTGTGAGGGCCTCCTCCCTGTCTCTCCGCAGCTGGACCACTGCCTGCAGGAGGATTTCCCCGTCTATAAATCGTTCCGCTTCAAGGGCAGCATCGGGCCCCTGCGCCTGCACCTGGTGGGGGCCGGGGCTTTCGCCCAGCTGCGGGAGGCCCTGGGCTCCCCCGTCCCCATGCCCAGGGTCCTGCGGGAGGAGCGGCTGCTGGCGGTCATCCAGAGCACCGTTATCTCCTAAGGGCAGCCCGGGGTTTGCTTGGTGTGCGCCCGCCGGGGAGGGATCGGGGCCAGGGCGCATCCCTAGCGGGGGCGAGGGCACCCAGCCCCGCGGGGTTTGGATGAGCGGAGCAGATGGAGGTGGCAAACTCAACCCGGTGCCCACTGCCACACCTCTGGAGCCCGCTGCTGGCCCTTCTCAGGACTTTTTGGGAGCACAGAAGGGGACCGTGGGCGTGGGTGGGCATCCCCGGGGGCTTTCTGGATGTGCCAGGCTTGGCCCTCAGAGGGCAGGTGCCCGTGCCTTTCCCGAGGGTCACCTCGGTGCTCACAGCCCGTGGGCAGCACAGGGGTGAGAGCAGAAACCTCCCCAGGAGCTGGGGAGCCCCGGGGCCTGGTGGCATTTTGTCCCCTGGCATGGATGTCCCAGGCAGGGCACGCGGTGGCAGCAGGAGCCCCTCCGCCTGGCTCCAGCCCTGTCCGCTGCTTCGGGAACAATCAGCTCCAGCGAGGGCTTTTTTAATGTTTTTTAAAGAACAGAAGCAAAATAAAGGAGGATTATCTCTCAAACATAAACAAAGGGCAGCGCTCTGGGATTGATTTTTTTTTTTATAGTATGTTTTTAATCCTCGTTAAGAGATTCTTGATGACGACCCCGACCATCCGCTTTGAGGAGAAGTCGCCGTTGTTTGCTCTCGGTCCTGGGGAAGGGTCAGCCATGAATATTTAACCAGTTCAGCGTCTGTCCTGGGGCTCTGGGAGTGTCTGGTGGGGACACGTGGCGGGGACTGGTCCTTTCTCCTGCTCGCTAAGGTTTATTTTAAGGGCTTGTGAGCCGTGGTGCTTAGGGAGCCTGCTGTGCAGGCAGCTGTTACCGGGGTGGGGGCGAGCAGGGCCTCTGGCAGAAGACATTGTCTTAAACAAGGCAGGCATGAAGCATCCCCCATGGTGCAGCCAAAGCCTCCCTGCCAGGGAGGAGAATCATGCAAAGGCTCCTTCCCTCCCATCCCCTGCTGGAAGAAAAGCCTGGAGCAGAATTCCTGTTGCAAGCAGGGGAGAAATGGCGTGGCCGGGGAGGGTTTGGGGTTGCTGCCCTAGCAGGGATACTGGTACTGGGCCAGCGTGCATCAGGTGCGCCTGGTGCTGGCAGAGCTTGGTGGAAAGCAGGGTTGGTGGGTGCAGGATAAAGGCCAGAGGGGTGAAGCTGAGCTCTGGCAGGTCTCTGGGGTGCTCCTGGCTCCTGGCAGAGAGCAGCACACAGCCTGGGGAGCCCCACGGCGCTGCTCATCCCTCTGCTTGTGCCTTCAGCCCTTCCTGGGGGCCCTGCTGTGCCCTGCAGCAAAGCTTTGAGCCCCCCTGCTTGGATGAGCAAGGTGCTGGGGTGGGCATTGCACCGAGCTGCAGGGTGTGAGGTTGTTTCAGGTGCCAGGCTGCAGGGCGCGAGGTCGATCAGAGCGCCAGGCTGCAGGGTGTGGGCTGGGTTTGGGTGCCAGGCTGCAGGGTGCAAGATCAATCTGAGCAGCAGGCTGCA